TGACGTTTCACGTTTGCCGTAAACGAGAATCTTAAGCTCTTAAACTCTCTAATTATTCGAAATAGACGTCGGCATATTTCAATTCGGTGTACAGACTAATCACCCCAGTTATTTCAATGCCTAAATGTTCAATGATACCGACCGTAAAAATAAAGATTATAGAACTAATTAAACTAATATCGYCYGAAATATCTTACTCAAAAAAACTYMTAATCCTTCTTTTCGTATACTAATTAAACGATATTAACGWCAGGGYAGAAAAACGACAAGTCCGCTACTTTCACGACTATTTTACTTAACTGAGTTTAATACTTCAAATTTTTAAGAGATTCATTTGTGTCACAGCTGCTCAAAAGTTGTGACGAAATTTTGTCGAATTATTAGAGTAAATCTACTTATTAGTAATCACAAAAATGTCATGCAGTTTTTCTGCTGATCAAAATATMACCTCTCCCAAAGTACACGGCTTTATATCTCAAATACGCATTCAATAAATTTTAGTCACATTTGGCCAAAAACCGTTTTTCTGCCCTGTCGATATTAACACTTTGAAATTCCATGGAAACTTCACTGGAACATATGAATATTATACAAAATTCGAGGCTATTRACACTGAACAACTCAAAACTTAAAACTGTAGCGGTACTGCCACCTTTCCATTCCAGGCGTAATCTCTCGATACAGGTTGAATTTTCAAAATAATCTGTTTGTTTGTCTTTATGTTTGTTTATCAGTTTTTGTTTTTTTCTTTTTGTTGTTGTTGTTGTTATTTTATTTTTGCTGTTTGTATTGTGTTATATAAAACAACATGACCGCCAACACGTACCCTCGGTTCTTTTCACGATCATGAATCTATAATTGATAACGAAACCCAGTCATTTTGCATCTTCCCACTCAACTATACGWACATTGTCTCAGGGTAACTCACACCTGACGATCTGCGTCTCTAATGAYACCTTTAATTAGTACTTGGTATTCAAACGCAAAAAACGTTTTGTAGTCACACGTAGCACTGAGCAGCTATTCAAAACAAACTCTTCAGTRAAAACGCTAAGATCAGTCAAGGACTTTAACGCTTAAATTCGCAGTCCTCATCTAAATTAACCATGTCTTGGCTTTCTCGTTTTTCGTTGTGGTTTTTCAACGGTAAGTACCTAGATTCATGCTTGTTTGAACAATTGAGGATATTAGCCGCTTATGTGTGACTTGGAACAGATTTTTATTCGATAAACAATTCTTAAAAACCTTAAATTTTCAAATCGCAACATCACGAAAAAAATTCGCTCAGATTTTGCCAGGAAAAGTTAACTATTTAAATGAAAATCATTCCAAACTGAGTAAGATAGACGTTATAAACGTAGACGGATATTTCAAGAAGATGGCAGTCTTTTAGAGGTAGGTATGATTTAGTTTTAATTTTCAAAACAAATCTATCCAGCCATAGTTTTTAAGGCGCTGCGTCTCAAATATTACTTAAATAAAAATATATATATATATACTCGGAGAGTGCTGAGTACCTAGAGCGAAACTCTGGTTAAGAGTAGTAGTTATAATTTGACGTTCAAATAAAAATTAATGTATGCAAGTTCTGCAACCCGCTACAATTTTATAATTCAAAAACTCTCTACATAAATAGAAACATGACTTTGAATAAATGAATAGATAAATATACATAAATACTCAGAGAGTGCCGAGTACCTAGAGCGAACCTCCGGTTAAGAGTCCTAATTTGACGTTTAATTAAAAATTAATGTATGCTCTGCAGCCCGCTACGATTTCATCAAAAACTCTCGACATAAATAGAAATGAAATAAATGAAAAAAATTAACGCATTGCTTTCTAATGCTGTGTAAATATTAATATTTAAAGAATCTTGGCTGCACAAGACGGATGAAATCCGCCTAATTTTCGTCAGCTTCTAGAATTCAACACTCATATTTCATAATGTTTATTTTTGTCGGCTTCCATGACTATAATCACTAAAAGAAAACACAGGTTTATTGAAACTATAGAACGATACAAAACAGGATATATCCATAATTTGTAACGTTTTTCTAATAAAAAAAAATATATATGGACAAAAAGGACTTTTTTAAGTTTACTGAATCCTTTCTTTTTTTTAACATTATTCAAAATAAAACTGAAATGACTAAGATGCCTAATTAGTTTTGGCGCAATTAATAACTAAAAGAGAAAACAGTATCTACCTTCTGTATTCATAATCCCTCAATCAAGGTCTTTCCATTTTCTTCTTCTTTCCTTATTATAATATTTTCGGGTTTTTTTTTTTTTTTTTTGTTTTTGTTTTTTTTGTCTTTGGGCATAATTAAAAAAAGGGGTTCCTTTGTTTTGTCGACTTAAACCAAATTCGATTTTTTGCAACTGATATGAGATTCTYGTTTTTTTTTCAGGGAGCCGCTCTTAAATATAATTGATAAGTAATATTCTCAGTTAATAAAGAAAAATATAGAAAAACAGTGGCGTCTTGCAGTCTACCAAGCTAATCGTACTAATTCAAAATTATATAATTAACGTTGTCCACCGAAAAAAGACATTTACACTGCATTTAGACATTTAGACATTTACACATTTAGACTAAAAGATATATCACGTTTTCATTATGTATTCTTTGCCTCGTGTGCGTCAGCCTGAACTTTAAATGTGAAATTCAATTCGTGAATCGAAAATCCAGAATGCCCTGACCATTTAGTGAGGACTTAAGATGGAGAATGGTATTTCAGCGTTTGTTTTATGCCAGAACCTTCGAGGAGACACGTGATATTTCTTTTAGTCTAAATGTGTAAATGTCTAAATGTGTTAATGTGTAAATGTCTTTTTTTGGTGGACAACGTTAATGACATTGACTGTATGTATAACATGAGCTCAAAAATGCACGAAATTGTTATTATTTCCGTCATATACCGCGGACAAACGTATTTTACTTCAGGTGAACTTTCATGTCAAATATCTCGAATTAATGTTTGGAGTGAGAAAGTTTTTTCGAATGATCGAAAATTGATTTGCTTATTGATGAGTGTTTGCTTATTGACTCACGAGTGTTACCTCTAAGCGTTTTTAAGAGGTCTTCCTGTATTTTGAGGGTTTTTGAGAGTCCGGGTTAACTATATATTAAGGCAAATTCATTTTCTTATAGAGCGTTTTCACGTGACGTCACATTGGCCATTTTGATGTACCAAAACAATACATTTTCTATCCTCGGGGAAATGAACTTTCTTTTTATGTAAAAACTGCGCAGAAAGTTTCTATTGCTTGGTTCAAGTGCCCTATGACCTCTAACTCAATATTTTCAGCATTGATTCTACATAAAGTGAATAGTCGAATGGTGAAATATTTTAACATGATTTGAGTGATACACCTTGAAGATATCAAGGTTTATACTTCCAGTGTGCTAATGAGTGTAATGTATGGCGGAGGAGGGGGGGAGGGGAGGCAGGTGAAATTTAGGGGGATAGGGAAATTTTTGGTAGGAAAAAGGTAGGAAAAAGATAGGAAAAAGGGGGGATGGCCAAATTTCCATC